TGGCTACTGTAGGGGATCTGTAATGTGATACCATGACATTGAATCAGAGGAACAGTAAGTTTGGCCCTGGCTACTGTAGGGTATCTGTGATGTGATACCATGACATTGAATCAGAGGAACAGTAAGTTTGGCCCTGGCTATCCTAGCAACAGTAAGTTTGGCCTTGGCTACTGTAGGTGATCTGTGATGTGATACCATGACATTGAATCCTAACAACAGTAAGTTTGGCCCTGGCTACTGTAGGGTATCTGTTATGTGATACCATGACATTGAATCAGAGGAACAGTAAGTTTGACCCTGGCTACTGGAGGGGATCTGTAATGTGATACCATGACATTGAATCCTAACAACAGTAAGTTTGGCCCTGGCTACTGTAGGGTATCTGTGATGTGATACCATGACATTGAATCAGAGGAACAGTAGGTTTGGCCCTGGCTATCCTAGCAACAGTAAGTTTGGCCTTGGCTACTCTAGGTGATCAGTGATGTGATACCATGAAATTGAATCCTAACAACAGTAAGTTTGGCCCTGGCTACTGTAGGTGATCTGTGATGTGATACCATGAAACTGAATCCTAACAACAGTAAGTTTGGCCTTGGCTACTGTAGGTGATCTGTGATACCCTGTCAATATACGAATGTTGTTGTTTTTGTAGGATGACAGGAACAGAGGCACAACGCTCCACCAGAGGATAGAGAAACGCTGGCTGGGTGATCTCACCATACCCTTCTCAACAATCTACTTCAATGGCAAGGTAACTTGACCTCTTTATTTCTCTGATTATTTGATGCTCACCTAAATATTACTTTTATTCCTTCCAAAACATGAACACCAGAAGAAACTCAGGAATTTTTCTAATTGAAGAGTATTACTGGATTAAGGAAAAAATTTAAGTTAAACTCCCATCAATATGTCAAGGTCACCTGTGCGAAACCTTTTCTGATCCATCATCATAATCATTTTCCTATTATTTTTCAATTTCTTCTCAGAAACTACTGCGCAGCTGTCAGTGAAATTGTATGGATGGTGGAGATCACAGAAAGTTCTTCCTTGCTCTTCAATATATTTCTGTTAAAGCTGTTAGAGATAGTTGAGTTTTATTGCAAGATGTTTGTGTATATCATATTGCATAGCAAAGCATTGTTGTTGGTAAATTTCAGATTGAGGGTACGTTCTGTTTGAAGTCCCCACCAGTGTTGCTAGGTTACTCCCACGACCAAAATATGGGCGGTGAATCGGACATCAACATCGGAAGTAAAGAAGAGAACACCTACCTTAGCCTGTTCATCACCATAGAACCGCCCCTATCACCTGCTGAGCCAATGAAAGAGCGGGTAAACCCCTTTGTATTATAATCTTATCCTTGATTAGACCCAACCAGAAACACTGTAACATGGAATCCTGAATTTGACCATAATGAGTATCTTTTTTTCTGATCAGAGATTATAATCCAGAACCTGTTTTGGATAAAAATTCTCAGTAAGTAAAATTATTATATATAATATATATGCAAGAGGTATGTGTATCAAGGTAAGATCAACATTATTACTGGGTTAGGTACTGACAACTTTTGCTTTGTAGTCCAGAGGAGTATTTTATATTCACAAGTCCAACTGGAGAATTGTCAGCCATTTGACATGTTCAGCTCATCTAACTCTACAATAGTACAGCAAAACCTGCCTTATCTGACAACTCAGTATCATAATCTCCAGCCATTTTTGACATACAGCTGTGATACCAGTTCTGAATTTTCCAAATAAACCTATGTGCACTGACACCCTGTGTAATCTTAGCAACTTGTTAGGGCCTACATGATGTCAAATAAGACAGGTTTCACCGATAGGTTTTGTGCAGTAATTGAATGACAGAATACAATATACATGTTGATTGTTCAATAATACATTGAATTTGCTGACAGTTTTCAACGAATGAAGCAGAAGACTTGCTGCAATATGCAGAAAAATGGCAGACAGAGCTGGAAGAAAAGTTCCCCAAGAGAGAATTCAAAACATCCGTGATCAATGTCAATGGGAAATCTGTATTTATCACACGATATTTCAAGGAGCTCAAACCACCAGAGGAACTTGTGGCAGATCTGAAGAATCAAAAGGCTGATGTGAGTGGTTATCTCGGATATTATGCCATACATACTGTGTAATATAAACATTTATGTGTATACGTTTGAAGTTATCACGGATAAAATATTATATATCCTATGTCCTAATAAGAGTACCCCATCCCATTTAAGTGTCCCTCAGCCTTTTCCTAGTCAAAGAAACCCATTTTTTTGCCGTAACTGACCAACTCATTTGAAAATTTACTATCTGTTATGGATATATGTTAAACATTTTGAAGATTCTGCATCTTCTTGTCCGTCCATCCTTCTTTCCATCCTAGAAGTTTGTCCAGGGCATATCTTCTATACTATTTCACCTTGAGTAACCAGATTTGGTGTACCAGGACATCTTGGGATGACAGAGTTCAAGAATTAGGTCACTAAAACCTCACTTTGACCTATGCTTCCTGACCTAAGTGTACTGTTTATTAAATATAGAAATCATTACCGATGGGGGACTGTTGAATGCCTTGCAATACTTTGCCTTGTTCAGTTAATGACTTAAGTTTGTAACTTTAGTGTGGCTTTGTGATTGTAGGAGGTGGTGGCACACTTTGTGGCCATGATTCCGTTTGTGTCCGACTCTGTCGTGTTCCCAGGACTGTGCGACATCTGGAGTACTTGTTCGGTATGGTGTACAGTAGTGTATGGATTTATCTCAGTTCTGTGCTGTTTGTTGTTGGTGCATTATCTACTATCTGATCGTAAATATATGATTATAAATTTGTTTAGATTTTTGATTTTTTTTACGAGACATTACTATATTTTGTACATCCTCAAAAGCTGTAATGCTGATTTTGAAAAGAAAATCACGGAAAAATGAATTATCTACAAAGATGTTTTCAATGAGGACTCTCTTCAACTCAATTCCCTAAGATATATACATGTACTGTATATTTGCTGATTTCTTCAATTTAATGAATATATGAAACTTTACAAATTCTTTCATTGTTAAAAAGATATAATTGTACAAGCTCATACATTTGCTTCATATTAAGTAAAAGGATGCATTGAAAGTGAATTTGAATTGTCTACATTCCCCTTCTTTAAGAATGAAATTAGGATAAATGATAATCTGATCATCTTTTTCTCTAACAGCAATTCCTACAGATGATGGCGGGTGACGAGGAGGAACATGCTGTTTTGTTGGCCAACTACTTCATGTCAATGCAGAAGAAGACATGGCTGATCATAGGTATGGCAGGGGGTTGTATAGAAAAATAATGTTTCTGAGCTGTAATGGCTGATCATAGGTATGGCAAAGGGTTGTATACAAATGATTTTGAGCTGTTATGCCTATATGGCTGATCAGAGGTATGCAAGGGGTTGTATGAAAAAATAATGTTTCTGAGCTGTAATGGCTGATCTGAGGTAAGTAAGGGGTTGTTTACAAAATTAATGTTTCTGAGCTGTAATGGCTAATATGAGGCATATATAAGGGGTTGTATAAAAATGTTTCTCAGCTGTAGTGTCTGATCATATTTACTATAATGTATGCTAAGTTCTTTAAACCAATCTATTTGCAGTGCATTGAATGAGCATAGGTATAGAGGGAACCATTTTGTACAAATAAGGATATTAAAAGGGTCTGTGTACAAATATGTTCGCACACTAATGACTGATCATGTATAAAGGGGGCTCAAGGCAAACACTGATCACATGTATAAAGTGGGCTCAAGGCCAACACTGATCACATGTTTAAAGGGGGCTCAAGCCAAACACTGATCACTTGTATATAGGGGGCTCAAGGCAATCACTGATCACATGTATCAAGGGGGCTCAAGGCAAATACTGATCACATGTATAAAGTGGGCTCAAGGCCAACACTGATCACTTGTATATAGGGGGCTCAAGGCAAACTCTGATCACATGTATAAAGTGGGCTCAAGGCCAACACTGATCACTTGTATAACGGGGGCTCAAGGCAAACTCTGATCACATGTATAAAGGGTGCTCAAGGCAAACACAGATGACATGTATAAAGGGGGATCAAGGCAAACACTAATCCCTTGTATAAAGGGGGCCCAAGGCAAACACTGATCAGATGTATAAAGGGGGCTCTACGCAAACACTGATCACAGGTATGAAGGGGGCTCAAGGCGAACACTGATCCCATGTATAAAGGGGGATCAAGGCAAACACTAATCCCTTGTATAAAGGGGGCCCAAGGCAAACACTGACCACATGTATAAAGGGGTCTCAAGGCAAACACTAATCACATGTATAAAGTGGGCTCAAGGCAAACACTGACCACATGTATAAAGGGAGCTCAAGGCAAACACAGAGCACATGTATAAAGGAGGCTCAAGGAAAACACAGAGCTCATGTATAAAGGGGGATCAAGGCAAACACTAATCACATGTATAAAGTGGGCTCAAGGCAAACCCTGATCACATGTATAAAGGGAGCTCAAGGCAAACACAGATGACATGTATAAAGGGGGATCAAGGCAAACACTGATCGCATGTATAAAGGGGGATCAAGGCAAACACTGATCACATCTATAAAGGGGGCTCAAAGCAAACACTGATCACTTGTATAAAGGGGGCTCAAGGCAAACAATACGACCAGTACTGGCAGCTTGACATGAACGTCGTTACAGGTACTGCTATCCCTGAGGGTCCCACAGCCTACGTGATGACAGAGGAAGGCAATGACCTCTGGATCTGGAATGCTGGGACAGGTCTTCACTACAGTGTCCACGACAACTACTGTCCCCTACAAACCGTTGGTTGTCTGGTGGATGCTGAAAATGTATGTGTTTGAATTGAATGTTAATGGGTTTTTTGGAACCACAATTATCCCTACCTGCATATCAGTGTCTAAAATAAAAAATGTTCTTTACCCACAAATCTTCAGTTTTGCTGACAAAGTCGCTCTCATGTTGTCTAATTTATTCAAAAGAGTTTGTAACTGGTTATTCTGGACCAAGGAAATGCTGATGTAAGCCATTAACCTTTACAAGTTCAGTATGATAATTAAATTAAAAGAGGGTTTCTTAAGTGAAAATATTAAAACATTTGCATCCTTGAGTCTGGGAGAGTTACTTGCCAATGACCGAGTGGTGATATAATACCTCAATCACATGATTTACATTTTTTTCCTCACAGATCTACGCAAACATACAGCAGTATGATAAGCCATCTCAGTTGAGATTTGATGTCAAATCTACCTCTGACTGGAGACCATTCTTCACACGATCCTTCAGCCGCTCACTTCCATCTATACAGGTAGGCAAAAACGCAATCGCTGATGAAAACGCTGATAATCGCAGAAACTTTCTTTGGTAGTTTTCCTTAACAGAAACTTTCTTTGGAAATTTCCAGAACAGAAACTTTGAAACTGTTTTAAAATGTATTATTCATCAGACGGTTCTATGTCATTCTTAAAATGGTCAGCTAAAACCTTGTTGAATGAAGCCGTTGGTATTCATTCAGTTGATTAGGCGAAGCTTATACTTTGTCTTCGATTTATCGTTTTAAAGCCTGAGGCCTTGCGTTACATTAACGCTGATCCAAATGGAGCACGAGACATTCAGGAGAAGATCGAGAACATGTTGAAGAACCGGATCATGGAGTGGCGATCGCGTTACATCACCCGCTGGAACAGACACTGTACTCAGATAATGAGGAAAATCTTACCAATGTAAGTTTGTCTACTCTGTGTGGCACACAAAGTTTGAAATACTTTTCCTCTGTCTGTAAAGGCAATATACATGCCAACTGAACAAAAGGCAAATTCTATTAAGTGTATAGAGTGTTTAATCTTAATTTTTTTACTCAGTTGGTGTTCAGTAGTTTATGAAATTAATAGTAACTGAAAGCAGGACAGTGTTAATATATCCATTTTAATACTGCTGTTTTGACCAGCTGCTAAGTCAATATATTTTGTAATCTACTCGTTTGTTTGTTAACATTAATCTTTTATCTTTGGAGCAGAACTTCTTACCCAACATCTTTATGAAACTTCATACTCATATGAACTTTTACCAGGAGGTGGGACCTGCTTTTGACTCTTACTTCAAGGTCAAGTTCACAGTTGAGGTCAAAGTTCAAATAACTAAAATCCTATATTAGCATCTATACCTAGAACCATGTCTTTTTCACAATACCCATTGCCTTCTTAGGATTGGCAGTGTGCATGCATTAATATTAATATTTCATCATTTTTACAGACTGGAAGATAATCTGGGAAAACCTCCAGATGCACAACATCTGTCAGAACTGGAAAAACAGTTTTCCACTTACAAGGTAAACTCTTAGCCAAGGGCTATGGAGACATTATTTGTTTCGTTACCTGTATGCAAGATGTTTTCATGTCATGAAAATTATGATTTTTTTTTAATGTAAAATGTTCATTTAAGTAAGCAATAAAGGCACCGTAATAAATAATTAACGTCGTCTTTTCTATAGAAAGACCCAACCATATTTTATGAGAAGTCTAGAACTGATCTGTTAGATAGCTATAGGCTGATCCAAATCAAATTAAATTATAAGAACTTTGTCTAAGAAATAAGTTTATATCAAATTTTGCTCTTTTATTATTATCTTTTTGGACTAAACCTAATGTTCCTTTTCAGGTGTCAGGTTTTCCCATCAACATGCCATTCACAGGTCTGGACTATATCAATGAACGAGTCTATTCCACGGGCGTGCATGCTCACGAGACCAGTGATGTAGAGTTTGCCTTGGCAGTCTACGTACATGCCTATCCCAACTCAGTGGCTTCCGTCTGGGTGTATGTGGCATCACTGATCCGCCTTAGGTAGTGGATCACGGGAGACATATCAACATTCCGTCCTGCTAAACTGTGATCAAGAAAATTATCATATCAACAGTGCATCTTTTATAATAAACTGAAAAGTTGTCTAGTTGTGGAAACCCTACATCTATACAAACTCCGAACCTGCGGATCATGTTCTCACGTGTCCGGTGTATGTCGGATTCCTCCACACTGTAAATGTTGCTCCAGAACTGGATTCTCTTACACCTGTGTAGTGAAATGTGATGTCTTCTGATTTTCTGTAGACTTTAGAAAAGCTGACACATTGGAAAACATTACAATTTACTTGGAATTCTGAGATTCACTTGGCTGGCTTGTGATTTTAAAGAAATGTTTGATCTATCTTCACTGTTTAGCATGATCTAGATAGGATGCTTCACAAGATACAATCTCTGTGATATTAAAAACTATTCAATCCACTCTGAACCAAACATTTGATACAAGAACTTCAATTTTAATGTTTTTATAAACAGCTCCAGTTTTATTTATTTTTTATTTATTATTGACCTCATTAAATGAAAACAATGTTTTTTGTAGTTCCTACAAAAAGTATGAAAAAAATTCTTGTTACATACATATAGCCTCAATATAATATGAAAATCATGTAATTTTAAAAATTATTAACAAAACATGTAAAATAAATCAAGAAATATTATCTAATTTGTTTGTTGTTTTTATTTCATTCCTTTATACATTTAATTCTCATTTCATCCAATAACACAGTAAAGAAAACATCTATCAGTGTCTATTTTAGCAAAATAAATAAACATTTAGTACCATGACTGTAGACATACAATAAACACCACCTTTTAATGTGCTTTTTGTGTGTTTAAATATCAATATATCAGCGATCCTATTCAGAATATAAGTAGGAACTATGACTCTGTACCAAATAAAGACAAGTGTTTAAGTTAAGATTATAGGCCACTATCTTAAAACAAACAAACCATGTGTGTTACTATTCAAGTGAATCGCTGTTCTCTTTACCAATATTTTCCATGGAACTCTTATTTTTAGAACTAGCTACCATCTGGACAGTCTTTAACATCAGAACTACCATCTGGTCAGTCTTTAACATCAGAACTACCATCTGGACAGTCTTTAACATCAGAACTACCATCTGGACAGTCTTTAACATCAGAACTACCATCTGGACAGTCTTTAACATCAGAACTACCATCTGGACAGTCTTTAACATCAGAACTACCATCTGGACAGTCTTTAACATCAGAACTACCATCTGGACAGTCTTTAACATCAGAACTACCATCTGGACAGTCTTTAACATCAGAACTACCATCTGGACAGTCTTTAACATCAGAACTACCATCTGGACAGTCTTTAACATCAGAACTACCATCTGGACAGTCTTTAACATCAGAACTACCATCTGGACAGTCTTTAACATCAGAACTACCATCTGGACAGTCTTTAACATCAGAACTACCATCTGGACAGTCTTTAACATCAGAACTACCATCTGGACAGTCTTTAACATCAGAACTACCATCTGGACAGTCTTTAACATCAGAACTACCATCTGGACAGTCTTTAACATCAGAACTACCATCTGGACAGTCTTTAACATCAGAACTACCATCTGGACAGTCTTTAACATCAGAACTACCATCTGGACAGTCTTTAACATCAGAACTACCATCTGGACAGTCTTTAACATCAGAACTACCATCTGGACAGTCTTTAACATCAGAACTACCATCTGGACAGTCTTTAACATCAGAACTACCATCTGGACAGTCTTTAACATCAGAACTACCATCTGGACAGTCTTTAACATCAGAACTACCATCTGGACAGTCTTTAACATTAGAACTACCATCTGGACAGTCTTTAACATTAGAACTACCATCTGGACAGTCTTTAACATTAGAACTACCATCTGGACAGTCTTTAACATTAGAACTACCATCTGGACAGTCTTTAACATTAGAACTACCATCTGGACTGCTTTCTTCTTCAGACATTTTAGCGGAGACACTAACTACTTCCTCTTTAGAGACTGAGTCTATTTGATAAGTTTTAGAATCGTTGATGTCCAGCGTCGCTGTAGAGTCCTTCACTGATGTTGTACACAGGTCAGACTCTGTATCTAGTTTCACTTGGTGTACTGTACAATGTTCATCCTCACACAGATCAGTTAAATGATCCGTCTCAGGTTGTCTGCTTTCCTCTGATTTGATGTTGCTAGTTTTATCCCCAGCCGAGTGACTTACAGCCAAACATCTATCCATGGCTGATTTAACACTCCACTGTACAAGAATATCCGCTGCTGATGTGACAGTAAACTGCTGTTCTATTGTCATTTTTGAAATTTCTCGAGGACCTAGGTAAAATAAAAATAATGTCAATCGAATTTCATTTTATTGAAAACTATTATTGTATGACTTCTTGTTCTCAAATATGAATGGTTCATCAGGGTATTTGATTCCATATGAATGGCGGAGTCTGAAAGTTTGGGTCAAGAGTGACTTGATATCTATATTATCATACAGGTACATTTTTTGTATATGGTACTTGTATCCGTGTAATACACATTAATAAAAGCAAGAAATATAGCGATGAACATAGAATACAAAGTATTACTTGTGTCAACTTTGGTGACATGATCACTGATTGCAATTTACCCATAATGAGGAAATACAAAAGGCCCAATTGGCCTGTACTTCTTATGTTATTTATTTCACATCTGCGACCTTCAGAGATAGTCACGATCAAATTTATTTGTATATGCTAAGTAATATATAAACACATTGTGAATTGTTGGAAGATTTTTAGTTATGTTACTAATCTGACCTTCAAATTTGGTCATTCATTTAGATTCCATACTTCATACTACTGTACTACTTTATACCATCAAGCTGAAAGTGTTTATTTAGGAAGGTGTTGACAAATTTGTTTCATCCCAGCATGCTACAGACCAAATATCATCACTCTAGACTTCTCTTGTTATTCAGAAAAAGTTGTTTAAAGGTTTTACAGATATGACCCCTGTAGTTTTGATAGAATCTGATAATTCCTTTAAAAGACATTTCTATAAACCATCTGCCAATGTAAAACATTGTAAGATTACCAGCCAAATTTCAAGGGAATCTGAAAATCTTTCAAAAGGTATCACACAGAAACATCTGTCAGTCAGATTACAGCAGCCTCAGTATGCATGAACTTTGCGGAGGATCCAACTTAAGCAAGAAATTGAGAAGAAAATATACAAGAGAAGTTTCACTGTGATCCAATAATCCCTTCAAAGATACGGTTCTGTATGCTGACAACATATTACCATGGAAAAAAATGTCTGTATATGTTTCCTTTTCAAGAATCATGAAAAATAAAAGTAGATATCTTATAATATTATACTTAGGTCATGGCATGGGGTCAACTAGGATAATCGACTTTTCAGTTTTCTGTAATTTTTTTCTTCTTTTTAAAAACAAAGGAAAATTGCAACCAAATTATTTTAAGAATTACTTATTACATTTCTTCATGTTATCAGTCTAGTTGTTTTACACTTGTCAAAAGAAAAAAGATACTGCTGATAGGTTTTTGTAATAAAGCTTGCTTTAAGACTCCCCATAGTAAATGATTTGCTCTTGGTAAGTATTCATTTTCACTACTGTTTTTAAACACCTTATTAACAAGAAAATCATGAACTGGGCAATAAGTTACAATGTTTAAAATATTTGCAAATAAAGTTTCCAAGAGATTTGAATTGTAAATTGATGCTATATGTTGATTAATGTCTAAATGTAAGTACATGCAGTGATCCAACTGAATTAAGTGTAAATGAAAATAATTCTCACCAAAACTTGCTTCCTGTAGTATCTTATAGTAACCAGTCACCTTGTCCTGTTTGAACATTGAGCAGAGCTGAACGGTGGTGAGTACTTGATGGCCGAAGTGTCTGTCCACTTCGTCCTCATACAGTGAAGGGTCTATCTTCTTAATACCTGCAAGGTAGTTATGATAATGACATAAGAAATAAACTGTGTAAATTTAATAATTTTCCATTGAATACCATACTAAGTATGTATTTAACAGGTACGTCAGAATACCAATATTTTTCACAAGTATGAAGTTTTGATAAAATTTATTTTCACAGTCGGCAAGTTCAAGTTCACAGATAAATACTGATATAATGTTAACGTATCTCACCTTTCTGTCTGAGTTTACGAAAGTTCTTTGACATCTTTGCTATCGTAATGTGAGGTTTAAAATCAGACCTTTTGTCTGTATTTATAATTTCATTTTCAGCAAATGAGTCATTCACCACATCTGGAATACACAATGTTAAAGACTTATTATATAATAACCACACACCCAAGCTTAAGAATACACTGACAAAGACATGATTTTGTTCATCAATCATTAATTGCCTATACCACCACATACATTTTCCCATCAGAATATGAATGTCTTATATTAAAAGCTGTTTGTAACATTTTGAGGTCAATGTGACTTTAAACTTAATTTTTTATGCTAAAACAATTCCTATAACTTCTCACTAATATTCAAATAAAACTTGTCAAAATGCTGTGTGATTTACTGAAATACACCTATCTTGATTACCGCCCCCACCACATTCCCATACTACGAACGAGATGAACCTATATCAATCACAAATATTACCAGATATATTCTGTAGTACGTCGTGCTGAGTGGGGTCAGATGGAGTGACTTTGGCGAACAGGACACTGTTCCTGAAGTGTCCCAGTCCTGCCACTCCCAACACCACCAATCGGTCCCTGTAATCTGCAGATAGTCTGGCCGCAGACACCTCCAATGCAGTCTTTGCTCTAGGTAAAAGAAAATGTAATAATTCTGAAAAAGGTGGATGGTGATTTCACAACACCACTGTCCTTCTGTACAACAAACTGGAAATAGAGACGTGGTTTTAACATTCAAAGCTAAGACATCTAATTTTTTATGCTGAAGGCTGAGATTTTCCATTTAACGTTAAGAACTGATTTATTTTTCTCTCAATGCTGTAGTAATTTTGTACCTGGTTTACTTATTGGTTGGTTGATTGATTTATTAATTGATGGATGGTGGTCAACGTCTGTATTCCACTTTGTCTCCAATGAAGAACAGCAGTGTTTTTTGAAAGACATGATTTACACCATGACCATCTTACTAATAGTCCTGCTTGTACCTGCTCTGCTGAACATAAAACAGTATCTCATTACTTTTTGGAATGTCCTATTTTTAATAATCAAAGAACAACTTTGTTCACTTCTCTTAATAGTTATGGAAACCACAACCACATTGATAAAAACATTCTTCTCCAGGGCTGTCCTGATTGTGATGGGCTTACAAATAGAAGAATACTTGATGATGTGCATATTTTTATTGGAAAATCCCGTCGTTTTAATTTTTATATGACTTAAAGCCATGATGTTAAACAAAAATATACTATATATTCTATATTTCATCCAGGAGATTCTAGTTGAGCATGACTACTGTCTATTACGTGTACTTATCATGACATTGTAAATAATTACACTCTATATGTATTAAATGAATTTATTATTTTTAATTGTAACAGTTGTTGGTAGCAGTGACCTGTGCAATATATGCACATGGACTTTTGGTCTAAGCCTGCCAATATCTGTCTATGATAGTGTATATATATGCTGAAATAAATGTATTTGTACATGTACTTGTATGTGTGTGTAAGTGTGTATGAGGTGTGTGAGATGTTTCCTTAATGAGTTACTTCCCCTTAGCTTTGTGTTAATATGAATTATTTTGTGTTAATTTTTTCATTTGCAACATGTCTAAAATATTATGTCTCCTTGTTTATTCAACTTTGGCCATTTGACGGAGAGAATTTATATAGGCTTTGCCTGTTATTCAATCCAATTGATTACGACATCTTGTCAATAAAATTTGATGAAATGAAAAGACATAAAAGTTGGGGGCACTGATAAATTCAGGCATAAACTAGAACTGTAAGCCAAAGGCTAACTAATACCCCCGCTCCTATATAAACCAGAACTGTAAGCTAAAGGCTAAGCAAGGCAAAGCATTGCAAATTAAAGCAATCCATAGTCTCCCACCAGTAATGATTTTTTTATTCACTGAGATGTACACTTATTTAAGTATATAGCTAGGTCACTGACACACTTCCTGTACTCCCTCTAAATGCCAAAACATACTTGCAAACCAAACCCTGTTAAACCAGATAAACAAGTTTTGCTGAAATCGTCCTAGTGGTCAAGGAAGAACTGTCAGGACAAAGATTTTTAACAAGGGGCCATAACTCCTTAAAAAGGGTCGAAATAAAAAATAAAACTACCCTGATGCACAACATCAGGGGGTAGTTACCATATCTGTAAACTGTCATTGAAATTGGCCCAGTAGTTTAGGAGGAAGACAAAGGTTTTTTTCAACAAAGGGCCATAACTCCTTTTAAAAGGGTCGTATTAAAAAGTACTACTTTGATGCACAACCAACTTTGATGCAGACGGACGGACGGAGAGACAGACAAGCTGATTCCAGTATACCCCCTAACTACGTTGCGGCGGATATAATAACCACAATTCTGACCCCTTTAAGTTCATGAAGCAAGGTCATATACCCCAAAGTGAAGGTAGACTGAAAACCTTGATCAGTCCCAATTAGTTTTGTATTTTCTGGATTGTAATTGCTTCCCAATTTACTATTGCAAAGAGCATTATTAAAGGAAAGAAAAATATTCATCATAATTTCCATTCTTCGCTCAACTGTGAGGATTCAATTCCTATATCTCTTGACAATTATATAACAGTTGTAGATACCTGTCTATACGATCCGGAGTAGGTAAACAAACAGGCATAACTGTAACATGTAGCTACCTGTCTATACAGTCCGGAGTAGGTAAACAAACAGGCATAACCGTAACATGTAGATACCTGTCTATACGATCCGGAGCAGGTAAACAAACAGGCATAACTGTAACGTGTAGATACCTGTCTATACAGCCTGTAGTAGGTAAACATACCTGTCTATACGGTATGTAGTAGGTAAACAAACAGGCATAACTGAAACATGTAGATACCTGTCTATACGGTCCGGAGTAGGTAAACAAACAGGCATAACTGTAACAGCTAGATACCTGTCTATACAGTCTGTAGTAGGTAAACAAACAGGCATAACTGTAGCATGTAGATACCTGTCTCTGCAGTCCGGAGTAGGTAAACATACCTTTCTATACGGTCTGTAGTAGGTAAATAAACAGGCATAACTGTAACGTGTAGATGCCTGTCTATACAGTCTGTATTAGGTAAACAAACAGGCCTAACTGTAACATGTAGATATCTGTCTATATGCTCCGGAGTAGGTAAACATACAGGCATAACTGTAACGTGGAGATACCTGTCTATACAGGCTGTAGTAGGTAAACAACCAGGCAGAGCTGTAACGTGAAGATACCTGTCTATACGATCCAGAGTAGGTAAACAAACAGGAATAACTGTAACATGTACAATGTAGATACATGTCTATACGGTCCGGAGTAGATAAACAAACAGGCATAACTGGAACATGTAGATACCTGTTTATACGGTCCAGAGTAGGTAAACAAACCGGCATAACTGTAACGTGGAGATACCTGTCTATACAGACTGTAGTAGGGAAACAAACAGGCATAACCGTAACGTGTAGATACCTGTCTGTACAGTCTGTAGTAGGTAGACAAACAGGCATAACTGAAACATGTACAATGTAGATACATGTCTATACGGTCCGGAGTAGGGAAACAAACAGGCATAACCGTAACGTGTAGATACCTGTTTATACGGTCCAGAGTAGGTAAACAAACAGGAATAACTGTAACATGTACAATGTATATACCTGTCTATTCGGTCCGGAGTTGGTAAACAAACAGGCATCACTGTAACATGTAGATATCTGTCTATATGGTCCGGAGAAAGTAAACAAACAGGCATATCTGTAACGTGTAGATACCGTAACATGTAGATACCTGTTTATACGGTCCAGAGTAGGTAAACAAACAGGAATAACTGTAACATGTACAATGTATATACCTGTCTATTCGGTCCGGAGTTGGTAAACAAACAGGCATACCTGTAACATTTAAGTACCTGTCTATGCGGTCTATAGTAGGTAAACAAACAAGCATAACTGTAACGTGTAGATAGCTGTCTATACGGTCCAGAGTAGGTAAACAAACCGGCATAACTGTAACGTGTAGATAGCTGTCTATACGGTCCAGAGTAGGTAAACAAACAGCCATAACTGTAACATGTAGATATCTGTCTATATGGTCCGGAAGTAGGTAAACAAACAGGCAGAACTGTAACATGTAGATTCCTGTCTATACAGTCTGGAGTAGGTAACCAAACAGGCATAACTGTACCATTAAGATACCTGTCTATACGGTCCAGAGTAGGTAAACAAACCGGCATAACTGTAACGTGTAGTTACCTGTCTATACGGTCGGTAGTAGGTAAACAAACAGCCATAACTGTAACATGTACAATGTATATACCTGTCTATTCGGTCCGGAGTAAATAAACAAACAGGCATAACCGTAACGTGTAGATACCTGTCTATCCGGTCCGGAGTAGGTAAACTAACAGGCATAACTGTAACAAGTAGATACCTGTCTATACGATCCAGAGTAGGTAAACAAACCGGCATAACTGTAACGTGAAGATACCTGTCTATACAGGCTGTAGTAGGTAAACAACCAGGCATAACTGTAACAGCTAGATACCTGTCTATACAGGCTGTAGTAGGTAAACAACCAGGCATAACTGTAACAAGTAGATACCTGTCTATACGATCCAGAGTAGGTAAACAAACCGGCATAACTGTAACGTGTAGATCCCTTTTTATTCAGTTTGTAGTAGGTAAACAAATAGGCATAACTGTAACATGTACAATGTATATACCTGTCTATTCGGTCCGGAGTTGGTAAACAAACAGGCATACCTGTAACATTTAAGTACCTGTCTATGCGGTCTATAGTAGGTAAACAAACAGGCCTAACTGTAACATGTAGATAACTGTCTATACGGTCCGGAGTAGATAAACAAACAGGCATAATTGTAACGTGTAGATACCTGTCTGTACAGTCTGTAGTAGGTAAACAAACAGGCATAACTGTAACATGTACAATGTAGATACCTGTCTATACGGTCCGGAGTAGGTAAACAAACAGGCATGACCGTAACATGAAGTTTCTTGACAGACACCATGGCATCCTTAAGTGGAGAACTTTGGGAAATGATTTTTTCCTGAATGTCAGCGAATCCTTTCTGGATCTTAAAAAAATCCAAGAAGAGTGTTTTGAAATATGAAAACAAAAATCTTGAATATTTGACAAACATTTAGAAATTTACAAACAGATCAAAACCATCTTATTGGGAGTATGAGTTATGGAAGCTTATAATACAGTACAAATTGTAAAATTGTAAGCACATTTTTGAAAAATCCATAAAAAAGTACTTTTCATCATACATTATCACACATTATTACACTAATAAAACAATCCAAAATTTTAAGACGTGGTAGAATTTTGTTTTTCCCTTTTGAAAGGTCCAACCAATATAGCCAGTTGATTTTCATTTTGAAAAAATGTTTCCAGGAATTTTGTTGAAACATTTTCTTTTTTCAAATTTCACTTATCTTAATTACCTTAGGATTACTGATCTGTAGGGCGATGAAGTGATCGGGTGTTTCAGCAGCCTTGCTTGCTCGTCTCTTTTTCTTTTTAGATTTACTGGGTCCATCCTCAGTATGATCTATTATCCCTCTATCCACAGGGGACTTTACCTGTTTTGACTTCCCTGGTTTCCTGGTTGAACCTTCTTTTGAACTTTGACTTTCCTCAAAGAGATTACCTAAGCCATCCTCTAGCCAATTTTCCATGCATCTGTCCTGTTTTGTTTCCGTTTCATTTACATTGCCATCAGGTATGTGTTCTTGTGACCCAGAATTTTCTTGTAAATCTTCAACAGACAACTCTCTTCTCTCTTGAGAAACTACCAGTAAGTCTTCATCTTGGCCTGGGGACTCCTTTTCACAGGTTGGTTGAGCCATGCTGCATACATCTGGAGAAGATCAAATACTCAATGAGCAGATTTATACCTCTTATGTAATAAATATAGATTTGTTGGAACCAATTAGTATTTCCCTAAAATATTTTTGAACTTCTGCAGGGAAAATTGGTTATATGGGAGAGGAGTTAATTGATTAAAGTACTTGTGTTATACAAAGTAACTTCATTTATCCACTCCGTTATAAACTTACTAGAGATTACAACGTTTTCAACAATTAATTCTTCACATGTGACGACTTTGCCTGCCAGCTCTGAACCTTCCAGTAATATATTACAAAATGAATCATTTTTTTTATTTTATTTTTTGAAGACAAAGCATCCAGATTAATGCAGTTCAGGAGCAAAGAAGATGAGTAATTCATTATGCAGTGTACAGGTGGATTTAAATTCCAAAAGGTATACACTTATACCGTTTTGAATTCTTGATTAAAAGAAATACACAGATTGTTTATTAGGTCCTCCTTATGTAACTTTTTCTGTAGCTACCAGGAACTGGCCTTACAAGGTACCCCAGGGTCATGACGCTGCCACCAAATGTATTCTATGATTGGGCACCCATCCGGCCACAGAACACATGCCATGTTGTGTAACTAGTGAGGGTGTCACAGCTAGGGTTTTACTGTAACATGGCTGAGCAAGGGTAAATTTAATAAGTAGACCATTAATTTAGGACTGTTCTGCCAGTCAAAATATTTATACAATGTTCAACTATACAGATAAATAGTAATGTATGGTATTTACAATCTGTACACACAAGCAGACAAAATACAAGCTGATGAATTTGTGGGAGGTATATAACGTATAATATATACAAGCTGATGAATTTGTACCTGGGCCAAAAGGCGCTGAACACACAAAGACATCCAGGATTTATATACTAAAATCAAACCTAAGCTTACTTGTAACAATGAACGGGCACTTCCTTTCACTGATTCTCATTGTCACCTTGGAGTGTTTCTCAGTAGTAACTGTAAATGGCCTGATCATTTTCATCATATTATAACAACAGCCTCTTCTAAAGTCACTACCCTAAAAAGTTGAAATGTACAAAGTTTTGATAGAGACATAAAATACTCTACTCACCCTTCATTACATAAAATCTCAAATATGCATCGATACCCTGTGTCTAGGATGGTTGTTACAGTACAATGCCTTGGGAAGGTTGTAGTTAGAAGCAGCCAGAGTTGTATCTCGTCTTTTCTCTCTTACCTCTTGTGAGACACTCCTCTTAAAACTGTATTGAGTGGATGGGGGGGGGGGGTGTACATATACAGGTTAGGAAATCTTAACGGGGTACATATACAGGTTAGGAAATCAAAGTTTAAACTCTCCTCTTTCTGTAAGATATGATTTTCTAACCCAACTAACTATCAAATGACACACTGTAAGCTAGATGTACTTAGTCATTTATCTCCTCTGCAATGAGCTTATGGAATGGACTAGATAATTCTTATACCTTCTAAAAATATGAAAGCATCACCTGTACCACATGTTTTACTGAAAATTTTTAATAATGATAACCAGTATCTTTTAGTTCTTTAGCACAAATTAGACATTGTAGTGGTCATAAAAGATTTCTATTTTGTGTAAAGTTATTTGTTTCTGCTGATTTGCTTATCATTGTAATGATGGTAATGAAGATGGATATCAAAGGATTTTGTTTTGTTTTTTTACAATTTTTAAATCTTAAAATAGGATTATGTAATATTCTTTTGAACATTGGTATTCAGCCAGTCCTCTACTCTCTTTTTTTTTGGGGGGGGGGGGGGGGGGCATATCGTCCATTTCAACCAAATGCTACATTAAAATATCAAAATAGTAAATTTCTGCATTCTTTAGTAAAATCAACATAACGTTTTGAACTAATTTAGTAATTAGTGGACAACTATAATTGCAACTGGAACGTTTCTCTCTTCTTTCCTTCCCTTTTCTTCTGTTTTGTATACATTTATCTATTTTAGTAAATTGTCAGAATATACCTAGTCCGTTTTTTTATTGTGATCAGTACCCGTGTCTGCATTGTGATCCTTCAATCTGCTGCATGTGTAACTTACCAGTCTCTTCCAACGTCTTTGCCTCTGTATGTGGCAGACAGCCTGTGTCCATAGTCTGTGGACGATCAGGTGCTGTTGCACCATCACTACTCAATTTCAATTTTCCGTCATATCTAGGTTATAACTACTTCGTTCATTAAATTACAACGCCCAGCAGTTTTTGTTGTTGTTGTTGTTGTAGAACACTTAGAATGATCGGAATGTAGATGTTTTGAATCTTATGATGCGAAAAAAATACGAGATGTAGATCTTTATCAGGTAGACGCTCAAACGAGGCTTTAATCTAAACATCATATAGACCTTGATGAATGTTGTATTTTCACTTTCGATTCGTTGGTTTTGTTGTCAAATAATATGGAATCGGTCGTAACTTTTCATGTTATTTATTTTTTGATATATATTCATGCATTTCAAAGATTTACATTGCGAGGCTAGTATCTTCTGATAACTGAAATATTTGCATTTGAAAATCAAGTCACATCTCCATGCAAAAACCGACACAGCTAAGGTACAGCTTAGTCCGAATTATTCTGACGTTTTATCAACCTTTTTTTTATATCGGTCTGTATAAAAAAAAGTCGATAAAACGTCAGAATAATTCGGACTAGGTACAGCTAAGGTGTGCATAGTAATTTTACACGTTTGATACGAAGGCTGGAATCTCTCGATGTCGATGTCGAAAAATCGACCCCACCTTACTTTCTTGTATCAAAAACCTCATTTCCAAACTTGATGTACAAAACAAATGCTAAGTATCGTTGAAAAGAGGGATATTTTTTCATTTAAACAAGAGGCCAAATGGGTCTGCATTGCTCACCTGATATTAATCTCACACCTAACCTTAAAAGTCATCTAAAATAAAGCTACAAGCAAAATAAATCAGTATTTATGACTACAAGTCGTTCAAATGAACCTGTTAAAAGATTTAAAAACAGTTTACCCCTGTGACCTTGAAAGTCAAACAAGGTCATTACGTTGAACAAATTGTATAGCCCTTCATCTCAGCATGCAACTTTCAAAATATCACCACCCTAGACCTTTTGTTTATTGAAATTAGGTCATTTAAAGGTTCATACATATTTGACCAAATGTGACCTTGAAAGTGGGTCAAGGCCATTCAAATGAAAAAGCTTGATAGCTTTTATCCAAGCATGCTACTGGCCAAATTGGTTATTCAAAAGAAATTGTTTAAAGATTTCAAACATATTCGACCCCTGTGAACTTAAATATAAGTCAAGGTCATTCATTGAAACAAACTTGGTAGCCCTTCATCCTAGTATGCTACTGGCCAGATATCAACATTCCTGGCCTTACTTATGATTATTATCATCTTGGGCCTTTTGGTTATTCAAAATAAGCTACTGGCCAAATATCATCATCTGTAGCATTTTGGTTATTCAGTGACGCCGGATGGACGGCATAAGCTCACTTGGCCCTTCGGTGAGCTAAAAAAAAATCCTTTATGCATAATAATGCGCGTACAATGCGTTCCTGTATATTATTATTGGGGCTGGCATTTTTACCGAAAATTGATCCATTAACCCCTAAAACATGTAAAGCTACAATGAACATGTTATTTTAGGTCCAAATATGTCTGTAACAATGTGAAAGGCAACCAATTCACTTTTGGTTTTGGTGTTGAGCTTACGCCCAATCAAGGTTGTTTGGTTTTCTCCCCTGATTGAGAACCAACGTCATTAAAATTGTTACTTATTGTCCTTTTATAATGTATAGCATGACGTTCATCTTCAACTGATAAGCAGTAAGGACAGGCTAGCTTGTTATCAATAAAATGTGGCTATGTGTAGTGTCACCATGTCCAGATTATGACATTTCAGACAGATGACACTTCAAAATTGTCCTTGATTGCACCATCACCCATGGACTGCATATGACCTTTGCTGATGTGATGATGTAAGAACCCAACCAATAAGATGTTGTCACAGCCCTTACCTCCAATTCCTTAGTAAGTAAGAAATCAACTTGGTCAAGAACAGTTTTGTCAAATTCCTTACCAATAATTTCTTTGATAAGTTTGAGTCTTATAAATGTAAAATTACTATTTCAAACACGTTTGTGATGTGATAGTATTTAATTAAGAAGTTTATTTTTAGGTGCTTTATACCAATAGGTAATTATACTATGTACACACGATACTAACAAATGATAATAACATAGGATTAAAAACAACTAGCGTTACAATGCACGCAGAATTACAAACCTTATTTTGATAGTCAGACACAAAATAATTCTTACAAAAAAAGCAAGTCATACCAAATATTTGAAATCATGATGTGTCAGATATGCATGTGCAATGAGGATACAGAGCCATACATCAAAATCCATCGGCCTTACAATCAATCACTTCAAATGTATCCATAAAATGCCAACCATAACGTATTGTTCATATGTGTTTACTTTATATTTCAATATCAAAGACAGTGTAAGTATGCTTTAGTAGACTAGTGTAACTGACAGTGGTATGATGCAGTGTAAGGATGCTCTAGTAGTCTAATGTAACTGACAGTTGTATGATGCAGTGTAAGTTTGCTCTAGTAGACTAGTGTACATAACAGTGGTATGATGCAGGGTAGTATGCGTAAGGAGACCAGTGTAACTTTACAGCGGTATGGTGCAGTGTAAGTATGCTTTAGTAGACATATTTCAATATCAAAGACAGTGTAAGTATGCTTTAGTTGGTATGATGCAGTGTAAGGATGCTTTAGGAGACTAGTGTAACTTACAGTGGTATGATGCAGTGTAAGTATGCTTAAGTAGACCAGTGTAACTTTACAGTGGTATGGTGCAGTGTAAGTATGCTCTGGTAGACAGTGTAACTGACAGTGGTATGATGCAGTGTAAGTATGCTTTAGTAGACTAGTGTAACTGACAGTGGTATGATGCAGTGCAAGTATGCTCTAGTAGACTAGTGTAACTGACAGTGTTATGATGCAGTGTAAGTATGCTTTAGTAGACCAGCGTAAATTTACAGTGGTATGGTGCAGTGTAAGTATGCTCTAGTAGACTAGTGTAACTGATAGTGGTATGATGCAGTGTAAGTAGGCTTTAGTAGACTAGTGTAACTGACAGTGATATGATGCAGTGTAAGCATGCTTTAGTAGACTAGTGTAACTTACAGTGGAATGATGCAGTGTAAGTATGCTTTAGTAGACTAGTGTAACTGACAGTGATATGATGCAGTGTAAGCATGCTTTAGTAGACTAGTGTAACTTACAGTGGAATGATGCAGTGTAAGTATGCTTTAGTAGACTAGTGTAACTGACAGTGATATGATGCAGTGTAAGTATGCTTTAGTAGACTAGTGTAACTGACAGTGGTATGATGCAGTGTAAGTAGGCTCTAGTAGACTAGGGTAACTTACAGTGTGGTATGATGCAGTGTAAGTATGCTTTAGTAGACCAGTGTAACTTTACAGTGGTATGGTGCAGTGTAAGTATGCTCTAGTAGACTAGTGTAACTGACAGTGGTATGATGCAGTGTAAGTAGGCTTTAGTAGACTAGTGTAACTGACAGTGATATGATGCAGTGTAAGTATGCTTTAGTAGACTAGTGTAACTGACAGTGGTATGATGCAGTGTAAGTATGCTCTAGTAGACTATTGTAACTGACAGTGGTATGATGCAGTCTAAGTATGCTTTAGTAGACTAGTGTAACTTACAGTGGTATGATGCAGTTTAAGTATGCTCTAGTAGACTCGGGTAACCTACAGTGGTATGATGCAGTGTAAGTATGCTCTAGTAGAATAGTGTAACTGACAGTGGTATGATGCAGTCTAAGTATGCTTTAGTAGACTAGTGTAACCTACAGTGGTATGATGCAGTATAAGTCTGCTTTAGTAGACTAGTATAACTGACAGTGATATGATGCAGTATAAGTATGCTTTAGTAGTCTAGTGTAACTTACAGTGGTATGATGCAGTGTAAGTATGCTTTAGTAGACTAGTGTAACCTACAGTGGTATGGTACAGTATAAGTATGCTTTAGTAGACTAGTGTAACCTACAGTGGTATGATGCAGTGTAAGTATGCTTTAGTAGTCTAGTGTAACTTACAGTGGCATGATGCAGTGTAAGTATGCTTTAGTAGACTAGTGTAACTGACAGTGTAATGATGCAGTGTCATTAGTGTATCTTAGGTTCATCTTATATATTTATAACTATACCTTTTGTTATTAATAAAAACTGGGAATCACCGAAGTGTGATATTTATCAAATTGTACAAACCACATGGAATAATAATAAAAACAATTATTAAAAAAGATATAGCACCAATGGATGTTTTCTTGCCTACCGTACAGGTATATTGTGTATCTGCATTTTTGACAGTGCTGGACAATTTGGTCTAGCCCTCGAGTCAAAACAGTTGGCACATGATCTAAGTTAGTTCCCCGGATTCAGTTGTCGGGTAGAACATTTCTCACCTAACTAGGGATTCCTAAGGTACTAATTCTTATTGTATTATAGCTTACATCAACATCGAGGATATAGAAATATTCAACAATATCACTTTTTTCAAAAAATATAAGGCAACAGTCCTGATCTCCTAGTCTCCTGTTCACTTATTTGGTTGACAACTCAACTTGTTCATCCCTTTTCCAACCAAATCGAGGTCCACGCTATCCTCTCCTGCTACATCAGCAGGTTCTGTCGCTGACTATTTCTTGTCAGTGGAGGACGTAAACAAAGCGTGTGGATCTGAAACTTATAACAGGGTTCCAACTGATCATATCAACATTATATATATTACGTTAAAGTAAGTGCTTATGTATTTAATTCTGTCATATTTTCATTAAAAATAAGTGTATACATATTTAATTAAACTGTATATTAAATTAATAGGAGAGCAATATAAAATTAATCATGCTATATTCAATCAGTCATCCATGAAGACACATTATAGCTCTTCCTATTCAAAGGTTGGAATAGTTCATTATGAAATTTCAGGGGTGAATGAGTTATGTAGTAGCATTTTTATTTAGATTCAAACGTGATAAACTACTTTTTGGGGTTTATTAGAAGTTTTACATTACTGCAATATACAGGGTTATATGGAGACGTCGATAAAGAGCCTACCAAACTGGACTTGGTGCAGCACTTTATAATAGCATTTATCACCAGTCATTTCCATGGCGCACAGCTGGACACTAGTGACCACCTCACGTCCAAAGAAATTATCAACCCTGTCCTCATAAAGAGAGCGTTCCATATGCTCACCTAAAAAGACAAAATGAATGGATACAGATGAGTCAGGAGTATTGTAATTGACAAGATAACAAGAGGCCCACAGTGCCTGTATCGCTCACCTGGATAATAAAGCAACCATGGGAAATTATTCTTATTACATAAAATTCCTCCAATGGTTCAGAAGTAGAAGGATTTTAAAGATTTAAACCTCAAATTCCCTTATTGGGCCCTGCAACTCTGCACCAAGAGGGGCCACACCATCGGTTTATACAAAATTTAGTCCCCTTAGCCCAGGGATGCTCCAGGCTAAAGTTGGATGAAAACCCTCAAATGATACGGAGGAAGATGGATTTTGAAGACTTAAACCTCAAATTCCCCTATTAGGTCCCGCAACTCTGCACCCAGAGAGGCTACACCATCCATTTATACAAAAGTTAGTCCCCTTTGCCAAAGGATACTCCAGGTCAAATGTGGATAAAATCCCTCCAATAGTACAGGAGAAGGAATTAAACAATTTTAACATGAAATTCCCCCTTTTGAGGCCGCCGCTCTGCATCCAGAGAGGCCAAAGTGCAGAGGGGCCACACCTAATGCTTATATGAAATAAAGTCGCTTTGCGATGCTCCAGGCCGATTTGGACACAATTCCTCCAATGGTACAGAAGGAGAAAGATTTTAAAGATTTAAAACTCAAATTCCCCTATTGAGCCCCGCCCCTCTGCATCCAGAGAGGCCACACCCATCATTTATACAAAATTTAGTCCCCTTGGACCAGTGATGCTCTTGAGTAAATTAGGATAAAATCCCTTTATCCCTATGCTTGAAGAAGGCATTTCAAGATTTTACCTCTATTTTCCCTATTGGGCCCCACCCCTCTGCCCCTAGGGGGGCCACACCCATCATTTATACAAAATTGAGTCCCCTTGCAAGAAAGATGCTCTAGAACTAATTTGGATAAAATAACTTCATCCATATGGTAAAAGAAGGATTTCAAAGCTTTTACCTCTATTTCCCCTATTTGGTCATGCCCCTCTGCCCCCAGGGGGTCCAAACTCACTGTTTATATAAAATTTAGTCCCCTTGTGTCAAGAATGTTCCAGACCAAATTGAGATGAAATCCCTTAATCCTTATGGTAGAAGAAGGATTTTAAAGGTTTTACCTCTATTATCCCTATTTGGCCCCTTACCTCTGTCCCCAGGGGGCCCAAACCCCCTTTTGCCAAAGGATGTTTTAGACCAAATTTGGATAAAATCAATTTACCTGTATTTCCCTATTCGGCCCAACCCCTCTGCCCCCAGGGGGACCACACCAACTGTTTATAGAAAATTTAGCCCCCTTGGCCCAAGGATCCTTAGACTAAACTTGGATACAATCCCTTTATCCCTACGGTAGAAGAAGGATTTTAAAGGTTTTACCTCTATTTTCCCTATTGGGCCTGCCCCTCTGCCCCCAGGAGGGCCACATCCACCACTTATACAAAATTGAATGCCCTTGGCCTAAGCGTGCTCCAGACCAAATTTAGTCAAAATCTATTGGGCCGTTCAGTAATGTTTTAAAGGAAAAGTTGACAGACGGACGACGGACGGAGGGGCGCCATGGCATAAGCTCACCGGTCCTTTTGACTAGGTGAGCTAAACATGATTGATGTTTTTTTGGAGTATTTTTTTTTTCATTTTTCTGCTTTTATATCAAAATAAGAATTAACAACTTACCTTTACCGATGGTCAGATGTGGATTGAAGTCAGGCCTTGAATCTGTGGTATAAATACCATACTCTCCAAAGGAATCCTGCACAACACCTGATAAGAAGGAAAATATGATAACATAGCAATATATGTACGAATATAAAACAACAGAATAACGTAGTGTCCACAAACCATCATTTGAACTAAAAATTGATAAAACGAAGGCAAATATGAACAGTGTGACTCTTGAAAAAATACAAGGAAAATAACACCAGTGAGCATTTTCACAAACAAGAGGCCCATGGGCCTTAACGGTCACCTGATATATTTATACAGAGAGTTGATTTTGTTTTTAACATGAACAAAAATATTATTCAAAGGGACAAAAAAATAAAAAATAAAAACTTATTCAATATCTAGCATACAGATTTAAGACTAAAAAGTATTTGAAGCTAGCACCTCTGATTCTAACCAAGGAAAATGAAGGAATTTTAGCACACTGACTCCTTTGGGTCCCACGCTACAGCCCTTGGGAGTAGGTCTGACTCATAATTTTCAAAGTATCAAACTGTTAACTTCGGGTTATAATTCCAATCAAGTTATTAACATGTAATATTCAAAGTATCATTTGTCATTATATACCGTAATAAATTTTGCCCCCCCCCCCCTCCTGCCCCAGGGGGTAAACGTGAGACCCTAGGGTCATAAACCTTAAGACCCTTTCATCTATGAAGAGTGTTTGATTCTACCATACTTGGCTCTTTAAGAAGAATATTTTTGAAATTTCAGTCAATTCAACCCTTTTTGGCGGGGGGTCAGTCAGGGCTCATATGTGCATACCATCAAACTGCTACCTAATACTGATAATACTAACCTAAATTGAATTACTCCCATTGGAAATTAAACAAATGTTGGTCCAAAATGTGATTTCCCTATGTAAACTATAGTAAAGTTTACCCCTTCCCAGGGGAAATGTGAGACCCAAGGGTCATGAAATTCACAATTTTGGTAAAGCACCTTTATACCCTTCCATCTATGAAGAGTATTTGATTCTACCATATCTGGGTATTGAGAAGAAGATTTTTGAAATTTTAGTCAATTTGACCCTTTTTGGCCCCACCCATTAGCACCGGGGGGTCAGTCAGGGCTCATATGTGAATACTATCAAACTGCTACATAATACTGATAATGCTAACCTAAATTGAATTTCTTCCAATGGAAATTAAACAATTGTTGGTCCTAAATGTGATTTCCCGATATAAACTATAGTAAAGTTTACCCCCTCCCCAGGGGGAAACGTTGATCCCAGGGTCAAGAAATTCAACTAAATTTACAAAGGTGTTTCATTAGGGTCCGTGTTAGTTTTATTGACATACGGTAACGACAAAATTGAATTTATTAATAGATGCATAAGTAGTAAGTATGCTTGATTTGACGGTCCTTGATTTATTACTTATTATTTAAATATGATCAGTGTATTGTGAAATTCACATACAAACTATTCCTCAATCAGGAAATCTCAGTATCGTAAACACAGCATATAGTCTTAGGGAAGTCAGGCAAATTAATCATTCATATGAATACGCTTGCATCAATATGCCGACCTGCACCAGTACAGAAGAAGATTTTACTGAAATGTCTATAAATAAACAATGCTTTATACAAGCCTGAATGACGTCACGCAGCAACATTGTGAGGTCATCACGCCTTCCGTGGTTTTGCTCACTAATTTTCAAGGAATGTCAATGTTTATATGTTTTTATTTTGTATTCTGATGTAACACAAGTCGTACTGATACATGTACAAGCAACTCAAATCCTGCGAGTGTATCAATGATTAACATTGAAATAGTCAGTTATTTTCAGTAAAAGAGTGATTAATGCTGTTTAGGTTTGATAGCTGGGGTCGGTTGAGATGAGGTCAATGTACATGCATTTCAATGATTGAGACTTAGTAAATCCGAACTTCCAATTTCACATGCACCTTTTTATACAAATTAAACTATTTTTTCTTTTCCCCTAAGCATGCTTCAGACCACATTTGGTTTAAATCCCTTCATTTGTAACGAGGGGAAATCTTTTTCTCTATTTCCCCTATTGTGCCCACCCATCTGCCCTAAAAAAAAGGGGGCCCACACACCTCAGTTAATACAAAATTGATTCTTTTGTCCATAAGCATGCTTAAGACTGCATTTGGTTTAAATCCCTTCACTTGTACAGTAGGAGGTAAAACATCCTGTATTTCCCCTATTGGGTCCGCCCATCTACCACGACCATGAAACTGCCATTAATTAGTGTTAAGCTATGGTATTTTCAATTTGTTTGTAGTAGCACCAACACAGGTCACAGAGCATGCTTTACTATGTTCTTGTAGCATGATAAATACAATGTTTCTAAAGAAATATGGACGTAGTATTTATAAAAGTGTGTTAGAATAAGGATAGTGCATTGTTTTCCGAGTCTATACTATCGGTCTCAAGTTCAAACCAGATTTCATGTTCTATTCGTCAGTATGTTAGACACTCAAAACGACACGCTATCCCCTTATTAGTATTCAAAATACCATCATTGATTGAAAGTTACAAATTAGTATTTAAAACAATCATATTTATAATTCTGCTGCAGGCTCCTCTATACACATCACCCATATGCAGATGAAGCCCCCACAAAAATCAAACTGCTGGCAAATAAAGTTCCGTTTCTCTTTACAACTCGATCAATATCTTTTTTATATACATTTTTAAGAGTATTATAAATCATTTTAATTAAGGGTTTAAACAGTTTTTGGGGTGTCAAAGTTTTGTTTAATAAAAGAACAAATCGCCTCGCTACGTTCGGCAGTGATATTTAATCATAGTGGAATTTGTTCAACGGAACAGCTTTTAATGGGCAAAAATGGTATATTAAAAAGAGAGAGAGAGAGTGTGTGTGTGAAATAGAAATAAACATCACATTTAATTAAACAAGAGGCCCAATGGGCCTGTATCGCTCACCTGGTATTAATCTCACACTTGTAATCTAAAACGTGGACTAATAAACAGGTACAGGCAAAATATCTGTGTTCGATTCATTTTAATCAATTAAATGATTTAAACATATGATGCCTGTGACTTTGAAAGTCGAACAAGGACATTAAGTTGAACCGAGTTTATAGCCTTCTGTCCAAGCATGCTTCTGGCTAAATATCATTACCCTGGACCTTTTGAATATTCAGAACAAGTCATATAAAGATTTAAACATATTTGTTCCCTGTGACCTCGAATATGAGCGAAGGTCATTCATTTGAACAAACTTGGTAGCTCTTTATCCCAACATCTGACTGGCAAAATATCCTAACCCTAGGCCTCTTTAATTGGTGATTCAGAAGAAGTTGTTTAAATGTTTTAAACATGTTTGACCCATGTGACCTTGAAATGGGTAAAGGTCATTTGTTTGAATAAACTTGGTAGCGCTTCATCCCAGCTTCTAACTGGCAAAATATCCTAACCTTAGGCCTCTTGGTAATTCAGAAGAAGTTGTTTAAATGTTTTAAACTTTTTTGACCCCTGTGACCTTGAAAATGGCCGAAGGTCATTTGTTTGAACAAACTTTGTAGCCCTTCATCCCAGCTTCTTACTGGCAAAATATCCTAACCCTAGGCCTCTTGGTTATTCAAAAGAAGACGTTTGAAGATTTTAAGACATTTGACCCCTGTGACCTTGAAAGTGGGTCAATATGATTCATTTGAACAAAATTGGTAGCCCTTCATCCATGCATGCTACAGGCCCAATATCAGTACCCTGGGCCTTTTGGTTATTAAAAAGAAGTTGTTTGGAGATTTTAAGACATTTGACCTCTGTGACCTTGAAAGTGGGTAAAGGTCATTCATTTGAACAAACTTTGTAGCACTTCAATCATGCATACTACAGGCCCAATATCAGTACCCTGGGCCTTTCGGTTGTTGAGAAGAAGTAGTTTTAATGGAAAAGTTGATGACAGACGGACGGACGACGGACGCCGCACCACGGCATAAGCTCACTTGCCCTTCGGACAGGTGAGCTAATGATAAGCCATATAACAAAATAAACCTGAGCCAGATGTATCCCAAGAGTGGCTACGCTCTTTGTGCTATCAAATATTTTCAACAAGAGGCCCAGAGGGCCTGTATCGCTCACCTGGATAATAAAGTAACCATGGGAAATTATTCTTATTACATTAAATCCCTTCAATTGTACAGAAGTCCCATTCGCCTAAGGATGCTCCAGACCAAATTATGATAAAATCCCTTAATCCCTTTGGCAGAAGAAGGATTGTAAAGATTTCACCTCTATTTCCCCATTTGGCCCAACCTCTCTGCCCCCAGGGGGGCCACAACCATCGTTTATACAAAACAGAGTCCCCTTGGCCCAAGGATGATCCAGGTTAAATTGGTAAAAAAATCCCTTGGTCCCTATGGTAAAAGAAGGATTTTAAAGGTTTCACCTCTATTTCCCCTATTTGGCCCCACCTCTCTGCCCCCAGGGGGGCCACAACCATCGTTTATACAAAATAGAGTCCCCTTGGCCCAAGGATGCTCCAGACCAAATTAGGATAAAATCCCTTTATCCCTACGGTAGAAGAAGGATTTCAAAGTTTTTTTCCTGTATTTTCCCTATTGGGCACCGCAACTCTGCCCCCAGGGGGTCCAAACCAACCGTTTATACAAAATTTAGTCCCCTTTACCCAAGGATGATCCAGGTTAAATTGGGAGAAAACCCTTAATCCCTATGGTAGAAGAAGGATTTTAGAGGTTTCACCTCTATTTCCCCTTCGGGCAGGTAAGCTAAAAATTAAAGGATCTGCCTCCGCTTAAAAATATAGACAATAAGTGATTTTGTGTCTTTATTTATTTGTATTTCTCTAGCTTCTTGACCCCTTTCGTAAAATCGTGGATCCACGCCTGTTGTGCCCCCTCTAACTGTAAATCCCGTTACCAGACGAAAAAGCTTCCTTCTTCACGTTCGTTAAACCGGTAGCATGTGTAACGCTTGCACAAACTAAGCAAATATCGTTGTTAGGGAGGATTTTTCTCGTAAGTCAAATCGTAAGTGCGCTCGTCAACAAAAATCTCAAGAATTGTCTTATGAATATTTTTTTACTTACGACTACTTTCGTGAAACTGACTTAAGAGTTCTCTTACGATAATCGTAACTCAAAATCTTACGACAAATCGAACAAAATTGGTATCCCTTTATTCCAGCATGTTACTGGCCAAATATCATCACCCTAGGCCTCTTTGTTATTTAGAAGAAGTTGTTAAAAGATGCTAATAATTTGACCCCTCAGACCTTAAAAATGATTGAAGGTCATCCATTTGAACAAATTTTGTAGCCCTTTATTCCATCATGCTACTGGCCAAATATCATCATCCTAGGTCATTTGGTTACAGAGATGAAGTGAATTAAAAAGTTGACGCCGTACGGATGGCGGACGCCGAACCACACCATGAGCTCAAAACAAGTCGGTCAGAAGAGAGGCACCGTTTGTTTAACAGTCTTCTTGAAAAGCTTGCCACCAAAATTATATACAAATTATTGTTAACCAGGAACTAAAATCGTTCTCACAATTGCATCCTAAGTATATTTCGTTTTGGTCTATTTTCTTCACAAAACATCTTCATAATAATTTTCAACCATATATTAATATAGCTTCAAAATAGTAACGTTTATTTGAGAAGCATAGTTAACTTTCACCGGGTATGAGAGAATTGGATAGTCAAAAATTCAAATAACTTATTAATATACATTTTAGAATGTATACAAACAAGTTTTTCTTTAAAAATTAGTGATTTGCATGACTAATATGTATCGCAGTGCATTCTTTTTCAAAATTTCTTAAATTAAGTGTAAATTTTGTATTAATTACCATGAACATGTTGGAGAATGTCCTCGGGGGTTTCATCTGCAGCATGTATTTTAGCAAATACCACTCTATTGTTGAAGTTCCCCATCTCTGCAATGTCTAACACTATTGGCTTGTTCCTGCACCCTGATTGTAGTCTTGATGCACAGAAATGTAATGCATCCTTTGCTCTAAAAGAAATAGCTTTATCTAATTTTCAACAAATTATTTTGATTGCAATATAAATTAAATTGATAATAAACTCATACTATTAACTCATAATTCATATAAACTGCATATCATGAAACTTGCATCAGACTTGCATGACCACCTTCCTCCCAAATAGGAATAGAATGTATACACTTTGATGTTTTGATATTGTAAGAACTACTAATAATTTGTAAGAGAAAGTTTATATCCCACTAAAAGTGGAAATGACAAGAATTTTGCAAGTTACACTAATTTAACCAACTACAGCAAGATGTGGAAGATATCTATATGAGAACAATAAACAACTCGTGAAGTGAGTTGGAACTCAAAATAAATGAAAATTAAATCTTTTCAGATATACCTAACTAATATTCTTTATATCCACGAATTAAAGATCCCTTTTTAACCTTGCACTGGAGTAATCTTGACACATGTTAAGGCTTATAAAAAGAGGTCCATTGAACCTGTATTGCTCACCTGGTTTTATATATAAGTCATTACAACTGAATGCATTAGTACATCTTTATATGAAATTTCCTCAAAACCAGACAAGATATATGTTCTAACCCAACTGGGACCACAATATATGACTTTCAACTAATCAGGGGCCTCCATCGAGTTGCCATGTTAACAGATTTGATATAAGTTATATGTCATATTACAGGGTGTAATTAGACAATACTTTAATTTACATTCAACTATAAGCTTTTATAAACCTAGAAACCATTTTTTTACAATTTATGAAAACTACACCATAGAATATGATAATCTAGCTGTACCATTTCTTAGGACCGCAGGGGTCCAATCTACCTCATTCAATTACGAAATGTTTGTTCTTCCTCACTACTATTTTTGACCAAATTCTGTACAATCCACTCAGGCAATTAGGGGGTATTAGCGTCTTAAAGCAAAATATTAGATTATTTTACTCTTTGGGGTCCGGTCTTCTTAGCCCTAGGGATCGAACCAGCCTCATTTATTTAGGAAATGATTGGCCTCCCCCAATGGAGTTTCAGAGCCAACTTGGTTGAAATCCTCTCTGGGGTTTAGGAGGAGAGGCGTTTTAAAGCAAATTTAGCTAAGTTCCCCTTCAGGGCCTCACCCTTTGTCTCAGGGGTCGAACCAACCTCATTTATTTAAGAAGTGATTGCCCTCCCCTAGTGATGCTTCAGACTAAATTTGGTTGAAATCTTCTTTGGTGTTTAGGAGGGGATATGTTTTAAAGAAAAAGTTGACGACGGATGACGACGGACGCTGCGCCACGGCATAAGCTCACTATGGGTCCGAAGGACCAGGTGAGCTAATTTCTTATGTTCAGAGAGAAAATTTCGACATACTTCAATGTATCAAAATAAATGAATGTGACATTTCGGTTAATATAATATTTACCTATAAGCCTGTATAAGCAGTACTTAACATACTTCAGTTAGGTCTAAAACATTAGACCAAACTTTATATTATGGCAATGTTATTACATTGTATATGGAAAGTGTGGATTCTCTCTACCAGAAACCTCCCATCTCCCCCAAACCCACCACAAATACCCATTAAAACTGAAATAAGATAAAAGTGCGAATCTTTTTATGCTCTCAACTGAAATCAATAATAAAAATATAACTACTTATAATATAAAGTAATAAATTTCCCAAATTAAGCTGTCGAATGTTATACATATCTTGGTACCTATCCTTAAACAATGAACACCCATTATCTTTCTTGTAAACATTTCCCTGTGTACATTTCTCAATGGTAACAAACTCAGCATTCGAACGATAAATAGTATTAAGAGGAATTTATGTTACCTATATTTTCAACCTCTTGCAAACAATAGTCAAAATCACTACAAGTAGGTAACATCTGTTTAGGTAACATTTGTTTAGTGTAACATCTGTTTAGGTAACATCTGGTAACGTCTGTTTAGGTAACATCTGGTAACATCTGTTTAGGTAACATCTGTTTAGGTAACATCTGGTAACATCTGTTTAGGTAACACCTGTTAGGGTAACATCTGTTAGGGTAACATCTGTTTAGGTAACACCTGTTTAGGTAACATCTGTTTAGGTAACATCTGGTAACATCTGTTTAGGTAACACCTGTTAGGGTAACATCTGTTAGGGTAACATCTGTTAGGGTAACATCTGTTTAGGTAACACCTGTTTAGGTAACATCTGTTAGGGTAACATCTGTTAGGGTAACATCTGTTTGAAAATCTAGTTTGTCGATTCAGGAAGCCAAACAAAGTAAATAATTTTACTGCTCCATATAGCCATTTAACTCAATCACCCCTGAAATTTCGTAATGAACTATTCCAACCTTTGAATTGGAAGGGTTCAAATGTGTCTTCAGGGGTGAATGAGTTGATCTATTTAAGACTCATCAGTGGCAATCAAGGTAAAATGAATGAAAAGACACATACATATATGAATTTAACCACCTCCTCAATCCCCCAATATATTACAAGTATTACCATTCTTTCAGTATAATATAACTAACTCACCAACATAAAACAGTTACTACTATAATGATTTATCAATAATGCACTTAAATGAGAGGTCTCTTCGGAACAAGGTTGGTCTTATAGATACTGAATTCACTGACTATGACATCCTATGTATTACTGAAATTCACCTGAATAATGAAATAACTGAATCTGATTTGCAAATTAAATCACATCCCAACTCATATCGTAGAGACAATCACAACACGGTGGTGGTATTATGATATATACTAAAAACAACCTCTTAATAAATCATAGAACTGATCTTGAAACTGAAGACATAGAACTTGTCATCCTAGAAATTAACACTTCTAACAAAAAATTACTTCTCTGCTGCCTTTATAGACCTCCTAATACAAAAATAGATTACTGAAATAAACTTGATAACATTTTGGATAATATTTCTAATACTAATCTTAATATCATTATCACTGGTGACATAAATGTTGACCATATAACAATGAAACCTAATTCACATCTTGCAAGATTAATTACTAAATATCACTTAAAAAAACTTAATACAATCACCAACACGCGTTACAAACACTACTGCTACCTTACTTGATGTATTTACTACTATTAATGTTAACATTTTTAACTCAACACAAGTACTTTCCCCTCTCTGTAGTGATCACTGCCCCATTCTTGCTAACATTTGTTTTAAATCACTAAAAAATAAACCATTCAAGAAACCTATATATAAATTCAATGGAGCTGATTGGGATGCTATTAATAATGAACTGCTTAGTAATGATTGGGATTCCATAGTTAATAACACTACTAGCATTAATGAAATATATTCTACTGTTATAAACAAAATAAACTCTGCTACTAACTCCCATATACCTCATAAAACAATTACTGTCCATCCTGATGACAAACCTTGGATGACTGGTGAAATTCGGCATAAATTAAGATATCAGAATAGATTACATAGAATAGCTAAAAATAAAAACAGGGAAAAAGATTGGGCAAAATTAAGAACTTGTCACAATGACATTATAAAAATTATTCGGCAATCCAAAGAAAATTACTTTAAGAAACTTCAAAATTATCTTGCTGACAAAACAGTGCATCCAAGAAAATGGTGGCAGATAGCAAATTCTATAGGAAAAATGACTAACACTAGCACTAATTCTTATCCTCTAAAATCTAACAATAAAATATTAATCCATCCACAAGATAAAGCTGAAGCATTAAATATATTACTGACACTAACTTACCTGACTTACCTCCCTTATGTCCATTTGAACTTTCTAATATTAACATAACTGAACAAGATATAACTGACCAATTTGACATTTTTAATAAAAACAAACCAGCTGGTCCTGATGGTATTTTACCTATGATTGTAAAGAAAATTTCTTCTTCTTTAATATACCCACTCAAACTATTATTTAATAGAACTTTATCTATTGGAGTAATACCTGATGTACTAAAAACGGCTAATGTTACTGCTCTCTATAAAGGTAAAGGAGATATCAGTGATCTCAATAATTATAGACCTATTGCTATTACATCTATTTTTTTCAAAATGTTAGAAAAAAATATTTTTAAATAAACGTTTAATTATATTTTAAGTGACAATAAGTTAAGTGTACATCAGTCAGGATTTCAACCCAAAGACTCCACTACTAATCAACTAGCTGATATCTATAATACTATAAGTAGTAATTTAGACCAAGGTAAAGATTTGCGCTTTGTTTTTGTGACATAAGTAAAGCATTTGATCGTGTATGGCATTTGGGCCTATTATATAAACTAAAAACATATGGTATTAAAGGTAAATTATATGATTGGTTTAAAGCTTACTTACCTGACAGAAAACAAAGGGTTATCTTTGCAGGTTATAAATCTAGTACCAAACCTATTTCTACAGGGGTTCCTCAAGGATCTGTCCTTGGTCCTTTCCTCTTTCTTCTTTTTATTAATGATATTACTAACAATGTAAACTCTCATATAAAACTCTTTGCAGATGATACCTCTCTCTATGTAATAGTAAATAATAACAATGACCTTACAACACCTACTAACATTCTTAATGATGATCTCGAAACAATCTCTGAATGGTCAAAGCAATGGCAGATCCTATTCAATCCGAATAAGACTGTAGCTATTAACTTCTCTCGTAGACACATTTACAATAATCCTCAACTGCTATTTAACTATACTCCAATTGCACAACATGAACACCATACTCACTTAGGACTAACATTTAACAGTAAAGGGACATGGGCAGATCACATTTCAAATATTTATAAAAAAGCTAACTCTAGACTAAGTATTCTTAGAATTTTAAAAACTACAGTTGATAGGAATACATTAAAAACATTATATGTCTCTTGTATAAGACCTGTGTTAGAATATCCTGATATAGTATGGGATAATTGTACCAAATCTGAATCAGATCTTTTAGAATCAGTTCAACTAGAAGCTATGCGTTTAATTACTGGCCTCAGACGAGGTACATCTCATCACATTCTGTATACTGAAACACAACTCGAAACATTACACACACGAAGACAAAACCATAAACTAACATTAATGTATAAGATTCTTAATAATTACACTCCAACTCATCTCGATAATATCATTCAACCATTTCTAAATGTAAATAGTAACTATACCTTCAGAAATAACAGATTCTTTAATATACCCCAGACAATAACTACTATTTATATGAATAGCTTCTTCCCTTCTACAATGGTTAAATGGAATACACTTGATAGCACCATACGAGACTATCTCAATTTCATCTTTTAAAAAGAAACGGGTTTTTTTTTTTTTAATACATCTGTCTCAGAAACTTTTATTAACTGTGTTCCGAGGAAACTTAACATCATTTTATGTCAGCTAAGAAATTTTAAAAGTGAGCTTAACTTTGATAAGTTACAAGACCATCTGATTGATGATGCTTCCTGTGTATGTGGTGCACAGAGGGAAGATCTAATACATTTTTTCTTTCAATGTCCTCTGTATTCAAATATTAGGCATCATATTACCACTATTTTTAATTTATTAGGATATCTAAATCTGCACTGTTTATTATATGGTATTAGTAATGCATCCAACCAATTAAATAAAACTATTCTTATACATGTTGACTTTGATATTAAATCATCAAAACGTTTCGTTACTTATACGTGCTAGATAAATTCCAAATAAATATTCATGTATTGTTATCATTATTATTATTACTCAGGCAAGTTTTGTCCCTTAAATAATGAGTATTAGAAATAAGCTGGTGTGGGTGTGCATGTGTGTGAGAGAAAAACGAATTGCAACATTTTATATATTTAAGCATTGTTGTACATAGCTACCGGAAATAGAAGAAGACTGATATAGGCAAAGCCTGTTGTCTAATTCTTTTGTCAATACTGTTCTAATATCTTCTTTAATGTTAACTTATATGTTTGTTTTATATATGTATTGTCAATAAAATACTTTTGAAATTGAAAAAACTAAAACAGTTACCTCTGTTTTTCATGGTCGCTGGTCAAACTCATAACCATCAATGTGATGTGAGCTTTGTGCACAGATGTCATGGCATTAATGATGGAAGGTTTCTTCGACGCCATGGACTTTTGTGTTTCTTCCATCTCTTTCAATATCTGAAACATACCCGGTTATAGTATTGAACATATACCGGGCTTAAATCAGTTCTTATAACAAGAGGCCCAAGGGCCTTAGCAGTCACCCGAGTCATACCATAGGTACTGGTAGCTTTATTTTATTGTTTAGATGTGATGTGAAAATCAGTATGTAAACTAAGTGAAATACAATGCTTGTCATGTCATCAAAGGATAAGAATTTTAAAATATTGGTTAATGTTCCCTTTGGGGCCCCGCCCTAGCCCTTGGGGATGGGGCAGGAATTCCATATATATATATATATATACTCCACATACCCTCATCCACCAAAGATGAGTGACCAAGTTTAAATAATTTTCTGCTGAAAATGGATAAAATATACCCAAAAGTGTTATTTCCCTATATAAACTATAGTAAACTTTACCCCCTCCCCAAGGGGGAACGGATGGCTCAGGGGTCCTGGAATTGACAATTTCAATAAAAGTCCCGATGATCTTTCTATCCATGCCCTGAAATTGACTGTCTTGAGAAAAAGATTTTTGAAATATTGGTAAATTTTCCCTTTGGGGCCCGCCCTGGCCCATAGGGTTGGGGTAGTAATCCCAATTTTACATTTTAAAACCATCTTCCTCCAAGAATAATTCTCACCAAGTAAAAATAATTTCCCACAGAAAGTTGTCAAAATATACCCAAAAGTGTTATTTCCCTATATAAACTAGTAAAGTTTACGCCTCCCCAAGGGAGAACGGATAGCTCGGAGGTCCTGAAATTTACAACTTAAATAAAGCCTCTGATGATCTTTCTTTTTATGCACTGAAAATGAATGTAGTACCTCTGAGTCTGGAGAAGAAGAAATCCCAACTTTACAATTTTGTAGCCTCATCTACCAAGGATGATTCTGACCAAGTTTGAAAAAAACCCATCCACTGATTCTTGAGAATAAGTTGAAAATGTGAAAAGTTTACGCACGACGGACGACGGACAACGCACGACGGACGGAAAGAGATTAGAATAGGTCACTTGAGCAAAGCTCAGGTGACCTAAAAAACCAACAAGAGAATACCGAAGTGGCAACCAAGTCAGTTGAACACAAAATCAACAAGAGGCCCAATGGGCCTGAATCGCTCAACTGGTATTAATCTCACACTTGTAATCTTAAAAGTGGACTAAAATACAGCTACAGGCAGAATATCAGTGTTTGATTCATAAGAACCTAATAAAAGATTTAAACACATGACGCCTTTGTCCTTGAATGTCGAACAAGGACATTAGGTTGAACAGAGTTTTAAGTCTTCGAACCAAGCATGCTTTTGGCAAAATATCATTACCCTGGACCTTTTGGTAATACAAAACAAGTCATTTAAGATTTAAACATATATTGACCACTTTGACCTTGAATATGGGCGAAGGTCATTCATTTTGACAAAATTGGTAGCCCTTCATCCCAGCCTGTTAATGATCAAATTTCATCACCCTTGGCCTTTGGCTAATTAAGAAGAAGTCGTTTAAAAGTTTTAAACATATTTGACCCCAGTGACCTTGAATATAAGTAAAGATCATTCATTTGAATAAACTTGGTTGCCCTTTATCCCAGCATGCTACTCGCCAAATATCATCATCCTAGGACTTTCGGTTATTGAGAAGAAGTTGTTTAAAGGTTTTAAACATATTTGACCCCTGTGACCTTGAAAGTAAGTAAAGGTCATTCATTTGAACAAACTTGGTAGCCCTTCATCCTGGCATGTTACTGGCCAAATATCATTATCCTAGGCTTCTTAGCTATTCAGAAGAAGTTGTTTAAATATTTGTTAAGACAATTGACCCATGTGACCTTGAAAATAGACGAAGGTCATTCATTTTGACAAAATTGGTAGCCTTTCATCCCAGCCTGTTAATGACCAAATATCATCACCCTTGGCCTTTGGCTAATTTAGAAGAAGTTGTTTAAAGGTTTTAAACATATTTGACCTCTGTGACCTTGAAAGTAAGTAAAGGTCATTCATTTGAATTAACTTGGTTGCCCTTTATCCCAGCATGCTACTGGCCAAATATCATCATCCTAGGACTTTCGGTTATTGAGAAGAAGTTGTTTAAATATTTGTTAAGACAATTGACCCATGTGACCTTGAAAATGGACGAAGATCATTCATCACATCATGCTACTGGCCAAATATCTTAACCCTATGCCTCTTGGTTATTCAGAAGAAGTTGTTTAAAGGTTTTTAACATATTTGACCCCTGTGACCTTGAATATAAGTCAAGGTAATTCATTTGAACAAACTAGGCAGCCCTTCATTCCAGCATGCTACTGGCCAAATACCTTAACCCTATGCCTCTTAGTTATTCAGAAGAAGTTGCTTAAAGGTTTTAAACATATTTCACAATTGTGACCTTGAATTTTTGTCAAGGTCATTCATTTGAACAAACTTGGTATACCTTCATCCCAGCATGCTACTGGCCAAATATCATTATCCTAAGCCTCTTGGTTATTCAGAAGAAGTTGTTTAAAGTAAAATATTGACGCCGGACGACAGACGACGGACGCCGGACGCTGCACCATGGTATAAGCTCACTTGGCCCTTCGGGCCAGGTGAGCTAATAAAACTAGGACAAAGTATCTAAAAAAGGAAAAAATGCACATAGCTTCCATTGAAAAAGTTCAAGGAGAATAAAAATACGTGTTCCAGATGGGTAAGCTTATTTTCCTTCATTTCCCACCACGAACACAATAGTTCAAAACCATGTAATGTAACATCTTCAAAGCCAGGACCGATATAGTGACTACAAAACAACAAGTCACACTAATAAGTATACCCATATTAGGAATATGAATATCTTTATTAATTTTGGTGGAAATTGTTAAGATTAGAAAAAGGACAGAAAAATGGTGAAATACATAAGAAAATGCATGTTTGTGCTAATATGTGAATATATATACTCAAGACTACCAGTAATTATACCCTGAACTGCAAGCGTGAAATTTATGGGATTTTTTTTTCTTTTTTAAATATTACAGTGGTATCGTAAGCTACATTTTTTGTATTTGATATTTAAATCATTAGAGCCACCAACTATGTGTGGTTTGAAATGTACCTTGAGCCAATGGTTGTGCCTTGTTCTGAGAGGCGTAGCTGATATTTTGTCACTACCAAAGACCACTTCAGATTAATTTGGAAAGATATTGTGATTGCACAAAATAATAAATTTAGGAGAAAAGATCTGCAATGTTGAGTTCTTTAAATCATGATGTCATGTCTATGGTCTTATTTTGACTTCAAAAGAAACTCAGTATTCTGTAACTCGTTTGTGAATAAATGGGGGCCGTTCGTTTTTATCTTTTTACATATTTTCCCTGTCTGGAAAATTTGCTACGGACCACTATATTTCTGGATCATTTTAAATACCTTTGTATTTGTTATTCGAAATGCTACAAAATGGTCTGGCTTATTCCAAGAACGCCTTGGCCTTGTTGAGGAGCTACGGTCTCGCCACATCTCTGAAAAGGAGGATACAATTTCAAGATATAGATCTACACACAATAAAAATAGGTATATTTTGGTACAAAATAGTTAATTGGAGTCTTAGTGCACAGACAAGGAATTATATGGATCCTTGAGTTCAAGTTCAAGGGCCCTACCTGGTGAGTAAGTACATGTATCCACTTTGGAATGAGCTGTGCTCAAGACCAGGGTAAGGTTCCTATTGGCTGGTTAGAGTACTCACTCCTCCTTCATCTGTGTACTTGATTATGACTGGCTGTATAAAATGTTTGGTACAGTCTTACATCTAGTGATTACAGTGTTCTGATAATTTGTCAGTCATCTTTTAAACTTTTTAAATTACTACTACAAAACATGTTGAAATCCATATTCCCTATCATTCTTCACATCTCATTCATATCACCAAGATTAGTAGCCTTTATCTCTATATACCATTAGAATAGGAATAGAACTATAATAAAGGGAAACTAGGAGGATCAAACATTAGTGGTACAACGTATTACACAGTGTTTTTTCCTCATGCCCCACCACCTCACACTTTATGATAAATAATTTGAAACACTAAATAAGGGGGGTTTGTATACCTGCTGCGTCAGACTATACAAACTACCTTAAAAATGTAAAGATCAGTCCCAATAAGTAGGTAGATTTTTACTTTCTTATCACCATCTTTTAATTAGAACAATAAGTTAATAACTTAAACATTTCAGTAGGATTTTTGCCTTCATAGATAGAAGTAAGTAGTAACTTATTTATACAACCTCACACTCAGAACCACTGCTAATGGTTAGCAAAGAAAAAATAGCCCAGACATGAATGTATAAATTCTGTCTTATTTGTCTTAATTGTTCATTTCAGACCATTATATAGAAAACGCCTAGGTAGGATCGAAAGTTAGAACGGAAAATTAAGGGGGTGTTTTCAAAGAGGGCTGAGGTTCGAGCACACTTCAGAATATTTTCGATCCCATTGACAGGCGCGTAGCTACCATGTAAGCCAATAAGCCCGGGCTTGCACATGATTTTGACAAGTATAGGTTTTCATGACATTATTTTTTCTTGCTGATACTATAAAGTGGAGTTTAAGTTTTGAATATATAGTATACATATGTAATTCCTCAGATATGATACAGTGTTAATAGTTAGTACAAAAATGTATGAAGTTTAGAAATGTCCATTGCATTAATGGACAGTTCCAGGCGGAACTAAACTGCTCGATTGAGTAAATTGAGAAACTCACGCCTGGCGCAAACGACTCCGAGTATGGCACAGTGGACACAGACAATCAATGTGGTTTTTTTTATGAAAATATCAATTTGGGGCACGTTCGGCCCCTTTTGCCGGGGCACATTCGGCCACCCCGAATGCAACTGTTATTGTGCCAAGTGACGTCACTATTGATAACGTCACCCAATTGACCACAAAAATAATATTTTTACGTCGCAAAAATTAAGTATTTTTTTCTTTGTATTCACTGATTTGTTCTGGACTTATTTTCCAACAGAATTGAATGAAATTCCATACACTTATTAGTAAATTGTCTTCTCTATCCTTCATGCCATACTTGCCCTGGTAGGGGCCGGATTTACCTCAGGGCGGGGCTCGTCCGGCCCCCAACTCTCTCGACCTAAAAAGTCCAATAATTCCCAAAATATGGTCTTGTTTACGATTTGGTTATTAGTTTATGAAAGACAATACATTTCTTTTCTAAATGACATATATAAATATGCATTTCAACAGTAAAGTACATGCCTTTTATAACGTCTTGAAAAAAGAAAAGGGGCCGTGTTTGCCCCGGTCCCCCCTACACATGTATTATACATGTGTAGGGGAGACCGGGGCAAGTTTTCCAAAGCTTTCGAAAGTCACTTTTCAGTACATATATGAAAACAGTTCTTAAATAGTTAAAATCCAAAGAACATAAACCAAACACTGTCCAAAAATTAGGATTGTTGAGTTCCCAAAAATATGCATATTTCCCGGAGCCAAAATTTGGTTGACATACCAGGTCCGTGTGACCTTGACCTTTTTCTATCACAAAAATGTTTAAGAAATAAGTTCAGAAATAGAAATATTCCTTCCTATCACAAGGAATATTTCTATTTCTGAACTTATTTCTTAAACATAAAATTTCCTTCGGAGGAAACAATAAAAAAAGTTTTTTTTTTATTCTGGGTGAGGATAACTTTCATACGTCCTGAACAGCAACATTGGATGTTTATGTGTGTTGTGACCCGTATCAGTATAGCATATGTGTGATTGTAACGTGGCCCTGTGATTGGATGTATTAGACGAATGATTACACAATTAATCATGATGGATTACTTAATTACAATTCAAACGGAAGCTATCGCCGGAGATCCCTGGAAAAAATAGCGAAAGTAAGTGTTGAAAATCTTCATTTGAAATTTGGCGGTACCGGTAGTGCTCTGACGAAGCTTCTTCCCTTGTGTATGTTTATGTGTGTTGTGACCCGTATAGCATATGTGTGATTGTAACGTGGCCCTGTGCCCAGACCGCTAGTGTTTACTGCCTAGTCAGGTGACGTTATCGGCGCTATTTTTAGCAGGGCTTTCCCGAACAATTCAAGTGGTCAAACTGGAAATTTGGAACTGACTGTGAATATGGGGATAGCGCGGTAACACATTCATTAAAAAAAATATGGCTCTTCACGTGATGTCCCTTTAAAGTAAAAAGTTGACGCCGGACGGACGACGGACGCCGCACAATGCCATAAGCTCACTTGGCCCATCGGGCCTGGTATGCTAAAAAAACTATCAAAATATATAACTGGTTCAAACACTGTTTTGATTTAAAACTAATTACATACAATTCTGAGCGACTAAATGAGAGAATTCTATGTAGGTCCAATCTTTCAAAGTGAAAGTAGTCTATTTAAAGCATCTCATCACTCCCCTGATCATGGTAAGAAAAGTTGTATGAACAATAATCTTAATATAAAGTTTAATTGTCTTACAGTGGTTCATCTCATTACCCTGGGAAGTTATAATATAGCATCACATGTTATATATATATATACCTACACAGGTACAATATGAGTTGTATTCGATTAATAATTTCTATGTTATATAACAAATATCTTTACACACAAAATAACTGCAATATACAGTCTGTAGATAAAATTTGAATATATTTGAAGAAAAAAAATCAATAACACAATTTAGAGTATAAGAATAACATACACGTATACTTGTGTTGTGTATATATACACAGTGGAGATAGTTACCTTAACCGCTAGTGTGACCTCCTTTTCCACACTAGTTTTGAACCAGTGTAAATTTGTCGAGTGTCTTCTATAATGAACCAGTGTAAATTTGTGGAGTGTCTTCTATAATGAACTAAGTCTTGGACAAGAGTCTGAACAGACTTGATGGTCCGATGGACAGTTATCGACTAACACAAACTTTGAAGTGGCACCACAACATGACTAGCATAGCCAGATTTCCGTATATGCAAATATTTATTGATCTTGCAAAGCACTTTAGTCAGGTAGACCGGCTGTATGACACAGCATTTTGAATTTACTATCACATTCACATTCTCCACTCTCTACCTGTAGCTATAGGTTACCTACGAGGGCTCAAAATAGAAACAATTGCTACATTTAATAGTTGCTTTTTTCTAATTAGATACTGGCTAAAATATTAATGAGACAAGCTTTTAAATATACCTATAACAGGACCCGTATAATTTGACAGATACCAGTACCTTAGAAGTAAATCATAATGATTTTATATTTGCTGCATTTAACAAAATTATATCTGTATGAGATTTTCACGTCAATGGCACATCACGAAATATTGCATGTTTGCAGGGTAGGCCTTCTCCTTTATTACGTTCTGACAATAGTCTATGGTCTGACGTCTCTAACAAAACAAGATAAACACCTTTATCTCCGACTAACCGATAACGTCACACTAATCACCAATGTATATAAGACCGGTGTTACAGTAAGTCTACACCTGGTGATGACTAAACAGATTTCTGCAAAACAAAGACTTGTAATGATGTTTCCGACTCCTAATATAACGTATAATGATCAAATTGAAACATGCACCTGTTACGTTCCCATCAATGAGCTTAACAGTTTTATGTCAAAAATTGAAGTCGCATGGCTCACTTCGAGGAAAATTGCCTTCATTATCATATTTTGAGGAAAGTAATTGTGAAATGAATTCAGATAATGACTTCTAAATTTGGCACATTAATAATCCAATTATAACAACCATGCACTGTACGGAAAGTAAATCAGACAACTGTATCAGAATATGACGTCAGTATGACAAATGACTATCAAAACATGACATCAGTATGCGACAGACGACTATCAAAACACGACATCTGTATGTCGGACAACTGTAACAGATCATGACATCAGTATGTCAGTTAACTGTAACAGATCATGACATCAGCAAGTCAGACAACTCTAACAGATCATGACATCAGCATGTCAGACAACTGTAACAGATCATGACATACGAAAGTCAGACAACTGGATCAGTAAAATACATCAGTATGTCAAACAACTGTATCAAAACATGACATCAGTATGTCAGACAGCTGGATCAGAACATGACATCAGTATGCCAGACAACTGTATCAGAATATGACATCAGTATGTCAGACAACTGGATCAGATCATGACATCAGTATGTCAGACAACTGGATCAGAACATCACATCCGTAAGTCAGACAACTGTTAACAGATCATGACATCAGTATGTCAGAAAACTGTATCAGATCATGACATCAGTATGCCAGACAACTGTATCAAAACATGACATCAGTATGACAGACAACTATAACAGAACATGACATCAGTATGTCAGACAACTGTAACATATCATGACATCAGTATGTCAGACAACTGTATCAGAATATGACAACTGTATCAGAACATGACATCAGTATGCCAGACAACTGTATCAGAATATGACATCAGTATGTCAGACAACTGGATCAGATCATGACATCAGTATGTCAGACAACTGGATCAGAACATGACATCCGTAAGTCAGACAACTGTTAACAGATCATGATATCATGCAGTATGTCAGAAAACTGTATCAGATCATGACATCAGTATGCCAGACAACTGTATCAGAATATGACATCAGTATGTCAGACAACTGGATCAGATCATGACATCAGTATGTCAGACAACTGTATCAGAACATGACATCCGTAAGTCAGACAACTGTTAACAGATCATGATATCATGCAGTATGTCAGAAAACTGTATCAGATCATGACATCAGTATGCCAGACAACTGTATCAGAATATGACATCAGTATGTCAGACAACTGGATCAGATCATGACATCAGTATGTCAGACAACTGTATCAGAACATGACATCCGTAAGTCAGACAACTGTTAACAGATCATGATATCATGCAGTATGTCAGAAAACTGTATCAGATCATGACATCAGTATGCCAGACAACTGTATCAGAATATGACATCAGTATGTCAGACAACTGGATCAGATCATGACATCAGTATGTCAGACAACTGTATCAGAACATGACATCCGTAAGTCAGACAACTGTTAACAGATCATGATATCATGCAGTATGTCAGAAAACTGTATCAGATCATGACATCAGTATGCCAGACAACTGTATCAGAATATGACATCAGTATGTCAGACAACTGGATCAGATCATGACATCAGTATGTCAGACAACTGGATCAGAACATGACATCCGTAAGTCAGACAACTGTTAACAGATCATGATATCATGCAGTATGTCAGAAAACTGTATCAGATCATGACATCAGTATGCCAGACAACTGTATCAGAATATGACATCAGTATGTCAGACAACTGGATCAGATCATGACATCAGTATGTCAGACAACTGGATCAGAACATGACATCCGTAAGTCAGACAACTGTTAACAGATCATGATATCATGCAGTATGTCAGAAAACTGTATCAGATCATGACATCAGTATGCCAGACAACTGTATCAGAATATGACATCAGTATGTCAGACAACTGGATCAGATCATGACATCAGTATGTCAGACAACTGTAACAGAACATGACATCCGTAAGTCAGACAACTGTTAACAGATCATGATATCATGCAGTATGTCAGAAAACTGTATCAGATCATGACATCAGTATGCCAGACAACTGTATCAGAATATGACATCAGTATGTCAGACAACTGGATCAGATCATGACATCAGTATGTCAGACAACTGTATCAGAACATGACATCCGTAAGTCAGACAACTGTTAACAGATCATGATATCATGCAGTATGTCAGAAAACTGTATCAGATCATGACATCAGTATGCCAGACAACTGTATCAGAATATGACATCAGTATGTCAGACAACTGGATCAGATCATGACATCAGTATGTCAGACAACTGTATCAGAACATGACATCCGTAAGTCAGACAACTGTTAACAGATCATGATATCATGCAGTATGTCAGAAAACTGTATCAGATCATGACATCAGTATGCCAGACAACTGTATCAGAATATGACATCAGTATGTCAGACAACTGGATCAGATCATGACATCAGTATGTCAGACAACTGGATCAGAACATGACATCCGTAAGTCAGACAACTGTTAACAGATCATGATATCATGCAGTATGTCAGAAAACTGTATCAGATCATGACATCAGTATGCCAGACAACTGTATCAGAATATGACATCAGTATGTCAGACAACTGGATCAGATCATGACATCAGTATGTCAGACAACTGGATCAGAACATGACATCCGTAAGTCAGACAACTGTTAACAGATCATGATATCATGCAGTATGTCAGAAAACTGTATCAGATCATGACATCAGTATGCCAGACAACTGTATCAGAATATGACATCAGTATGTCAGACAACTGGATCAGATCATGACATCAGTATGTCAGACAACTGTAACAGAACATGACATCCGTAAGTCAGACAACTGTTAACAGATCATGATATCATGCAGTATGTCAGAAAACTGTATCAGATCATGACATCAGT